AGCTGTGTATACCATCCTATAAAGTTATTATAGTTGTGGAGCGTTATCTCTACGCGCTAAGGGGTTAATTAGGCCGTTATGGTTGATTGGTATATCGGTTGAGGTAGTGAGACTCTTAATTATTAGATTTACATAGTGATTTGATGGATGTTAGTAATTGTTAGGATCCGAGATAAACAGTCATCCAGACCACACATGTAATTAAGTAAAGCAACCGGGACACAGGTGTAACCGTGATCACGTAATTTAATTAGAGTAATTAGTGCGCCAAGCCCACTAATTATACTAAGCAACTTGTATACTAATCACTAAGCACAACTTAATCACCATAATTAGTTCGACTAAGTAACTAATCAAGCTCAGTATATAGGAACGCGGGTATGAACCCTTATACTCATGTTCAACCTATTTATCAATCTATCATTTGGATTACACTCAGGCTATTCTATTAACTCATTATATCCTCCTCCAATACTATCGTCTCGACAAAACCCCTTCCCTTCCCTCAGTTGTCTTACCCGAGAACCAACCCTAACCCTTTAGGACTAGCTACCCTTCTGGATTTAATATCTTGAACACCCTTAACATGGCAATAAGGACTCCTACTTCTTCCACGTTATCGGACGGTACCGCGATTACTCCTATAAGCAACTCCAAGAGTAAGGCACATAAACCCGACTTGTATTACAGCGACCACAAACACACCAACGTATGGCTACTTCAGTTGGACCTCTACTTCTTCAACAACAATGAAGACCTTAATAATAAGAAGAAGGTCATCTTTGTAGCCACCTACATGCGAGGTAATACTGGAGATTGGATCCAACCCTACGTCACTAAGTACCTAGGAATGGATCACAATAACTATAAGGAGGAATATCTCAACCTCCACGCCAATGCAATTAACATCATTAAAGACTACCCAAACTTTAAGAAGAGTCTCCAACAGATGTTTGGAATCGCTAATAAGGTACCCATAGCTAAATGAGCCATCTAAACTATTACGCAAAAGCAATCCATAGTAGAATATACAGCTAAATTTAGGAAATACGCTATACAGATTGAATGGGAGGATGAATCCCTAATAACTATATATAGACAAGGACTTAAGAGATTCATGCATAAAGAACTCTTACATAGTAGAGCATAAGTTAATACTCTTAAAGAATTGTATACTAAAGCTATTAGGATTAATAGAGAATGGTTCGCACTATAATAAGAATTCTAAAAGAACCTAAGGAATATTAGTTTTAGAAAGGCAGCACCTATCATCTATAGGGCGTTACCAAAGGCACCTAAGGGACACTAACAGTCGCGAGGCAACTATGGATATGAACTAATGGAAGATGTCTAGTTTAATTA